ATTAGTTTAGCCGTTTCGAAGATTAGCCCGCACAGATAGAGAGACAAATACAGTATTATTTCGTTATAAAGGTTAAATAATTTTTTAATAACATTTTAAATTTAATTTAAGTATATTAGAAATATTGCCCTTATCTTCCACAATTTTTACTCTTAATAAAAAAACAACGGAATATGAATATTGGATGTAATATATGTATATAATAGTAGTTAATAGACATCGAAAAAAATATATTTTAGAATATTTTTGAAACGGCCCTGTATTTTGTAATCGTTAACCTGAAGCAATCATATGTAAACATACTTGATTTTTCGTAATATAACTTTTTTGCTTCAAGCTCTTTTTGTGACACTTGTGCAGTAAATCTTGTTATAATTCCTACGCACAAAAAGTTGGGATAATGACAGCATTTTATTAAGCAGTCAATAAGGAGTGTAAGGATAAAATTAAATATGTGGATACTTATACATAAAATATTAATTGATAGATGAAATTCTTATATGCATCTTAAAATTAATTATACTGAAACGCACTACCAATAAAGACGTGCTTAGAGGAAGCGTTTGTTGAAAATAAATAAAATTAAATCAACGATAAAAAGCGCGCACTTCTCCAATTCGGAAAACTCAAATAAAACGTGTGAAGAACATTGAAGGCGTATTATTCACAAATATCACGTTATTGTTGAACAAATAAGATTCTCTTTTGGTAAATCAAATAAGACTAGTTAAGTATGATTTAATTCTTGCAAGCTTCAAAAATTATTGTAAATATGAACAAATATTTCAAATTTGCTCAGTGTATTAATTTAATTTGTTTTTTTTTATTAAAAAATGACGGAAATTATATTAAGTGGACTTCAGTCTTGTAAATACGTAAATATATAATTTTTTATAATTTATAAAAACTTGAACTTGTACAATTAATCTATTTAATCTTGTTATAAACAAAAACTAGAAATAATTAAATAAATAAAATAGTACAGATATATAAATTAGGAAAAATTGTCGTCTGTCTGTTTGTCCATCCATGCGGACTAATCATTGAAATAGTTGAACCAATTTCGATGGGACTTCGTAAATATGAAGAGTGGTTGTCAGGAGTGACCTAGACAATTTTATTTAAATTGTTTATTGGTTATTACAAGTACTTTTATTCTAAACAATTAAAAATATCTAATCTCATGCGAGCGGGCAAAACTTTAGTCTTTAATAAAATCGAAACTAAAAATGGAAAGGAATAAATCCAGTTGCAGGTCAACATTTGCGATTAATAATAAAAGTAATAACAAAAATTAAAATAAAAATAAGCAGAAGGAATGAGAATCGAATATTTATTACCGGTTATTTAAAAAGAAGCATTGAAGATGAAAATAATTTATTTGGTGAATGTAAAAGTTGGCCTTTTTGATCGTGGAAGAATGAAGATGGATCAGTATGGATCTCTACATATTTTTTACACCTATACAGATTAAAATTATTAATCTTACATTTGAAACTTAATTTACGAAAAGATTTGCTTCAGAGTCCGCACATCTTAACGAATAATGGGGAATGGAGTTGCAACGTTTCACTATTTATTCTTTGATCTCCTATTTATATGACATAAAAAAATTAGTAAGATATGGATACGGATAAAATGAAATACATATGCATTTTAAGAAAAGAATTGTTTCGGTTTTTGTTTAATCAATTATGGTATGAGTATGATTAATGGTGGGTGATAATACATGAACGAATCGAAGTGAATATCGAAACATTTTTTTGCTATTTTTTCGAATTGTTCGTTATTCTTTTCGAATTATCTATATTTTTAATTCAATTTGTTTACCTTGCGAATGTATTGCAAAATGCTCACATTTTGCATAAAAACAGGACTTCTAAAAAACTCCTCGCGGTGTCCTTACTCCTTTGTAACCACTGACGAAACGTTGGTATTTTCCTTTTTTGTGTACAATATTTTTTCCACAATCGGTAAATGTAAATTTAAAACATCAAGATCAGATATAATAAATTATTATTATTTAGGTACTTCCATAGCAGGGGCGGATTCAGGAACAATTCTTGGTTGGGGAAAATTGAGTTTTTCTTAAATATAGTTCCTGGAATAAGTTCTACTAATACGCCGCATTTTTCAAAATTCTTCATAATTTACCTGCATTTTCAATACCTTTATTGTATATCTATGTATGTATGTATGCACGAATATATGTATTTATGTATGTATGTATAACTACTAAAAATATGTCTGTAGGAAGATAATTTAAATAGGAAAGTGGCACTTAAGTAAAGTAAAATCGTATACGTTAGGAATTCTGTCATTGCGATTTAATAACACTGTATTAGTTTCTAAAAAGGCCAACGCAAACATGTACTTTAAGCAAATATTCGAAAATAAATATTAAATTTTCGCCTGTTTTTTGCAAATTTATTAAGCATGTGGCGAAAATTAAACAGTAGAACATTTTGTTACGTAAATTAAATTGTACCTACATGCGCTGACGAACCTTGGACCTATTTTATAGTCAAGGTAATAGTCTTCTAGCCTATTCTGCGTGTAGGTATGCAAATTCATTTTAGTTTGTATACTATTATCTGCACCATTCACATAAAACTATTTTCAACTGTTTATAATNTACTTATTATTTAAACAGCATACTATAAATGTATCTTTATGGTCTAGTTAGTCTACATATTTTTTTATGAATTTCTTAACCGTAACAGTATTATTACTAATTGTCTTTAAATTTAAACCCTATTTAAATTTATAGGGTAAAAGACATGCCCCCGCTCTATTTAGTATCAATATGGGTTTTCCATTATAGGAAAATATTAGCGAAGATTTTAAGTTTTATAGTGCTACTTTCGGTGTTAACGAAGAAGGATACAGTTATTTGGATTTATTTAGAAAATTAATTACTCAAATAGGTAAAAGTTAACTTATCTTTGCTGTTAATCGAATTTGTTTGTAATAATTATTGGTTTAGGAAATGCCATGGGCTATGTTCGAATGATAAGGTCTGGAGGCAGGAGATGTCTCGCGGACGCCACATGTTTTATACCAAATTTAAAAGAAGCAGAAACAATACCAGAAATGCTAAATGAAAGCTTACCAGAGCAAGTTAAAGCAGCTTCACTTGGTTTTCAAAGAGATTTAAAAAACCTCATTGAAAATTTTGAAGAAGCGACAGAATATTTTCAGGTTTATTATATAATTGAAATAATTAAATTACATCAGAATTCATTATTTCTATTTTAGCTGTTAATTAACGTATTTGCACCCGTATTTAGAGAATCTCAGAATATGCATTTAAAAAATTTCTACGTTATCATTCCTCCTTTGACAATAAACTTTATTCAGCATATAGTTGCATGTAAAGAAAGACTTAGCAAAAAAAATAAAACGGGTGCAGCGTTTACTGATGATGGTTTTGCTATGGGTTTGGCTTATATAATTGAATTGTTGGATCAAACCAGCAATTTAAATTCACTCCATTGGTTTCAGTCAATAAATACAAAAATTACAGAACAACGGAAAGCACTAGAAAAACAAAAATGTAAGGAACACAAGGATGATGAAAAGCTTCAGCAAACGTTATCTTTAACTGAGAAACGACTAGATACTTTTGATAAGGTAAAGATTAATGAAATACACATTGACTATTTTTAATTCAGTCATATTTGGTTTGTAGGAATTCCAGCTGTTATATTTTAATTTTAATAGTGCCAAAATTTTTTTCAAGACCTAAAACATACCATTTATATTTTTTAACACTTTTCTATTATGTAAATTCATGTATATATATTTAAATATACCTAAATAAAAGCATTTTTGTTTTAATATTTAAATGACTAGAGGGATTTAAATAAAATAAAATTTAAGATATTTAATTTTATTACTTATCAAAAGAGCAACAGAACTAGTACAATATACATCATTTACTTTTTAGCCTGAGCTACTGCTTCGTCCTCTTTTTGATAAGACTGTGTAATTTCTTGTTTCTTTGTAGCAATACGTTCCAGACGTCGTTTTTTAGCTTCCCTTACTTTATTTCTCCTAGCTTCTGCTTGATCTTTCAACATCTTGCTACGTGCCTTCTCAGCTTTCTTTTTATGGATGTATTCCATTAAAACCCTTTTGTTCTTAAAAACATTACCTTTGGCTTTCATGTACAG